CACACATACGCAGTAAAAAGTCATTGTTATCCTGTTCTCATACTTAAAAACGAAAGAAATATAGAAATTAACACAATTGAAATCTGTTCTAATAATATACTTGTTTACTGTATATCTCTAAAGTAATTGTCAATTATTTATTGTAAGTAAAAGATACATTAAATTATTAAACAAAATGTTATATTATCAATGTAAAATTTTTATTTCCAATTGTACACATTAGTGTAATAATAAGTGATAATGTCACTAATTACTTGACTAATGATGATAGTTCGGCTAATTGTTAATAATGTAAAATATATTTTACAATGTATGCAATTACTTTATGAAACTATCAAATAATGATAATAAGAAATAGATATCATAAAAAATCTTGTAATAATTAAATATGTATTGAATACAATATGTATACACCTTGTCTGTGGTATAATAAATAATTGTGTCAAAAAATAATTGATTACGCCATCTACGGCCAAACGTTCAAACTGGTAGCCGATTAGTACATACTTTCTACGTTAGATTGTATCAGTACACAATTTTATATCACTAATTTATTACATCCCTAAGATCTGAAACATTTGCATGCAAATAAATGCACTTAGTAAAGTGCACTATGAACATGATGTAATAAAACGAAGTAAAAACATAATGTAAATTTTCTACTGAGGTGGAGGCATAGTGAATAATAAGACTTGACGTAATGTTAATACGTAAACTTCAGTATTCATAATCCGTTGATTCTGTGTCAATCGAATGTGAAATACCAGTTTGTGATAACATAAAACTATTCTTCTTTCAGAAAATTGGTATGATCTGAGATTTGATTACACACAGTTTTTGATTCAATGTTCTTTCTTCTTTTATCAAGTTTGTGCTCTTTTTGATAAACTATGGATCTTTCTAGATTCTATTTGTAATACATAGTATGACCACATTATCTTCATATGTATGTAACTAATTCAACTGCATACGTTTATCAAGTAAATAATATCGATCGCATAAGACATAAGGGAAGCGTGGTGACTAGTTACATTCTTCTAAAAAATAATAAAAAAATAGATGCGTGTCACTAAAATTCTACAGAATAAAGTATACTGTGAATTTCAATATTGAGTTTGATATTAATTTTTCTCCCCTGTGTACAGTGCTAATATCTTATATGCCTTAAAGGATGAACAAACAACAATATACATCATTTCTTCGCAGTAAAATGCATACAAAATTATGTCGGAGGTGGGAAAGGTGTTAGAAGTTCACATAAATTAGAACATATATTTGTTTATTCTTTGACTATGACAACATATTGCCATTTTTTATCGATAAACTGGTGATAATATACACATGAATGTATTACATGGAAAGCAATACATTGGAAATTTCGAAGAAATATTTTATATTGGTTAAATATTGATAGTAAGTTCATTAATTTTATTTTACTTCAATGCACATAAAGTACCTTTAAGAATTCTGCACATGCTGAACATTACATTTTCCAGTTTAGTATTTTGAGAATAACTAATTTCAAATTATTCATTTATTTTTAAACATTTATTATCTATTTTTATGATGTATTACAGTTAAACTTACTATCAACAGAGTAATGGAATAAAAATGAAGCTTTATAAGTTGATAGTACATCAAAAAACCTTTAGTGAAGAAGATCTTATAATTAATCCAAAAGATCACCCAGGTATAAAAACTGGAGATGTTGTTGAAATTTATCAACCAGAAGTTGAATTCAGTCGTCTGCTACTGCAAGTCACATCTTTCAAAGAAGATCTACAAGGACGGGAAACGATTAGCGTGGAGAATAATGTAGCAACAATGTTTCAATTAAGAACATTTGGAGATGTCTACATGAATATTGTAAATCCAGATGATGTAGCTTTGGATTCTGTTGAACTTACGTTTAAAGATCAATATTTGGGACGTAGTGAAATGTGGCGGCTAAAAAATAGCTTGGTAGATTATATTTGACTTACCTTTAGATATAGGTGTAAACTTGTTAATAATTTATATAAATTTTTATCAGGTTAACACTTGTGTGTATATGAACAAGAAAATTGAATTTTGTGGAGGTAGTATAAGGTGTCAGGTATACGAGATGTGGTCACAAGGAGATCGGGTAGCCTGTGGTGTCATAAATAATGATACTAAGGTTTTTATCTTAACATAGAAGTAAAGTATATGTGAAGCAGTAGTTTTTATAAACTTTGTTTTCAGGTTGTATTTCGTTCTTCAACAAGCATGGTATATCTCTTCATTCAAATGAGTTCAGAAATGTGGGACTTTGACATACATGGTGATCTCTACTTTGAAAAAGCAGTTAATGGTTTCTTAGCTGACTTGTTCCAAAAGTGGAGAAAAAATGGTAGCAATCATGAAGTGACAATAGTTCTATTTTCAAGAACATTTTATAATGCTACTAGTTTGGAGGAATTCCCAAATCATATGCGCGAATGTTTACAACACGACTATAGAGGACGATTTTATGAAGATTTCTATAGGGTGGTTGTACAAAATGAACGATTTGAAGATTGGAGCAATGTATTAGTGCAATTACGAAAATTGTTCACAGATTATCAAAAAATTGTATTAGAGTATCATCAGAAACCGGGTGATATTATACCAAAAGCAGTGAATTCAACAGCAGCACAAGGGAATTTTTTAGAAGTTTTAAATATGTCATTAAACGGTAATAATCAAATAATTATTACGTTATCGAATTTCGATATATTATGCATAATCTGATCCCATTACAGTGTTTGAAAAGCATTACTTAGATCGTAGTTTTGATAGAACTGGTCAGTTGTCAGTGGTGATCACACCAGGTGTAGGTGTTTTTGAAGTTGATAGAGAGTTGACAAACGTGACAAAACAAAGAATTATTGATAACGGGGTTGGTAGCGACTTGGTATGCGTTGGCGAACAACCATTACATGCAGTTCCTTTATTAAAGGTACTTTTAACATATTAGAAGTATCATTAATGGTATCAGAATAATATTATATTATATGATTTTAGTTTCACAATAAGGATACATCTGTAAATGCGCCAGACGACTATAGTATGCCACACTGGATTAATCTCAGCTTCTATTCAACAAATAAAAAAATACCGTACTCAACGTTCATACCTCGCATAAAACTTCCTCAAAGGGTATCAAAACAATCAGCGGTAGAAAACGGTAAATTGCAGTGTAAAAATAAGCTTTTGCAAGAAGATCCAAGAGAATGTTTACACAATAGCTTATTTGACTATGATGCATATGATGCACAAGTCTTTCAATTACCCTCCGTTCACACTTCCAGGTATAACATAAATACATACATATTAATATTATTCAAGTTTGATATTGAAATCTAACACTTCATGTAAGTAGTTTGCAACGAGTTACGACTAGAACCAAAAAGACAAGTGTTGTTAGTATGGAAACACATAATAATGCACACATATTGAAACTTTTAAAAAGAAAAATGTCTGATCCTGACATCCATCATCCACCGCCCGAATTGCATTCTACTCCAGTAGCTGCAACAAGAAGTGCAGCGATCTCAATACCCCATAGAACCGACGATATTGCCAGTAGTGAATCAAATGGAGAAATAAATGGTATGCAATCTGAAATATTCATGGACATGCAATAATATATATTTATTAACTTTTTTGTAAAATAGAATCAAGAACGTCAATTAAAAGCGATTTAACGGATTCGGAAATATCGCCACCCTTTAGGCCAGTCGTTGGTAGTGCGGGGAGTCCAACAAATACTATATCGCAACCAACAAGTATCATTAGGCCTAGCAGGGCACTTATTAATCCTTTTGATCCCTCCCATGTTACAATAAAGCTTACTAGTAACAGACGGAGATGGACACACATTTTTCCCAAAGGTCGGAAATATAACTATGCAATTATTTAATTATATCTAAATTAAAAGAAAGAGAAAGTATATAACTATTTAAATAAACCAAATTAATATGGTAGGACCAACGGGAGTGCTAATACAACAACACCATTATCAAGCTGTGCCAGCACAAATGTGTTCACAATCACAATGTGATATTTTTTCTACTGTAAGTGGATCACCTATGGAGCATACTGAGATCTCAAATGCAAATCAATTCCATGATCGTTAGTATTTTATTCCAAATATAAACATATATCGTAAATTCATAAAATATAATTTCATACATATTTTATAGATGCTAAAATGAAACCACAAAAATTAAATCTGTCTTTATCAAGCAGTGATAAAGGTGGAAACCCAGTATCTTCCACAGGAAATAAATCATTGACATTGTTATGGGGTGCCACTGGTGAACAAGAGTGGACACCAGCACTAACTACAGGTTTGCATATATTTACTTGATGAGAATTTTATAGGGCGGATAGATTAGCGACCAATATTATAATAATTCATAAAAAATAACAATACTAGCCATTTTATTATTCACAAGTTATCATTGAAATGAGTTTACAGTTTGAGGAAAGAATTTTGAAACAGTTTTTAATCATTGAATTTTTACAATGCATAATATTAATTGTATTTTGGAAGAGAAATTGTTGTACTAGCAAATGTAGAGTATCAGCTCTTAAATTAAGTTTTTTACTTACGATTAATACTTTAAAAAAATTGACTAATATATTGTGATGAATTATAATACTATAAAGAATGAAAATAGTTGGTGTATACTTTAGAAGGAAGTTATTTTGTCTTGGATATTGAATAAATATTTGGTACATAATCATGTAATCATCATGCATAAGAAGTATTTTCATTCTTAGATGTAATCATATTTATTTTTCAATTTCACCGATCATTTATATGAATAATATTGTTAAATTTATTTCCATGCTATGGTACGTCTTATTGGGATGCAACGCTGGACGCATTGACGCGTGTGTGATGTACAACTATGATGTCACATTATACAGCAATCATAGGTTAGCGTCCATACGTTATTGGGGGTTGATTCGGTTATGGTACACATTTACTTTTAGGGCCTTGAAATTATAGGTGTTTTGTTCTTTATTGCTCAAGTTCTTATAGTCTTCTGTGCATGTGTATCCTCCACCAAACACAAAAAGTTATGATTTCAAAACAATTTTTTATGTAGTCTGTAGACAATTATAACATATAGAGTGAATTATAAGAAACAAAACTCTGAAAATATGAAAGTATAAACGATCTTTTGTTTTATTTTCAAAGTCACTCGAAGGTCATAAATATATGTTTTTATTACACAGTGTTCATGGTATGACTATTTAAGATTGATGTAGGTGACCTTTAAATGTCCTTAAGCATAATATCAAACACTTTAGGAATATGTAGGTATTTTGTTTTTAGCGATTTACTCTATATACATAATATTATCATTGTTATTATTATGTGTACACCTACT